AATAGCAACACTTAAAACAACTTCCGAACTGGAAAAACTAATATCCGCGATAAACATCTGTTTAAGTACCGGAAGACGTTATCTCTGCCTTCTGAATGTTCATATTGCTAGATATGCTGAGTTTTAGGGCGAAATCCTGGGGAATTTCGTCTAGAAATGCAATTACCTAACCGTGCGCGATCCCGTGGTGGCTAATCAGTTTCTGGCAGACGATCACTTTTGGTCACAACACCGGCTTTAGATTCAGTTAATGAATGCTAAGTACTGTTGGACTATTACGGTTGGTGCATATCCTGTGTGTGTAATTTTGTGGTTTGGACATTAAGAGCCTGATATTTATTCTACTTATAATTTAATTCAATAAGGGGGTTTATTGTGTTCACATTCTACCTGGTGTTAAATAATAATTGAGTTTGTGTCTCAGTAAAAGAGTGTGTAGGTCCAAAAGTATATTACCTGAGAGGTAATTAAAGGACAGATATAGAACAAGTTGTTAGAACCCAGAGCCCATTCAAGTAATTCCTGAGAGAAGAAGGGCTGCAAAGCCATAAAACAAAACAAAAAACCAGTCATATTTATGGTCATAAGAGGTGTAGTCTAATGGTTTATGCTCTTTTATGAAAGATGAACCATTCTACATATTAATTTGAGATATTAATTTTAATAAATTAACAACCAAATTTTATAGTTTTAAGAAGACTCAAAGGTTGTTTTCATCAATAAACTGACGATAATATCCGTGGGTCTGTGTTTCAGTTCAATGAAGAGACAAGTTTGAAAGTTAAAAGTTTTAATTCTTCAAATTAAACTAATGATTTTGAAACGACAAGCATAGGAAATAAGAATCAACATTGGCAACTTTGTTGAACAATCTTTAACAGTTGATATTTTAAACTTGCTCAAATAGACCTTGTGTTGGATGTGCTGAAGATTGAGAATGAGGTGATGTGATATGATTATGGATGCGTGTGTGCGTCTGATTTTGCTTCAGGAAGAAACAGGTGTCTGAGTGAAAAGTGATGGTTTGAATAAACTTTTGTTGGAAAAGATGCATCAAACACTATCTATTGTGTTCTGCCTCACCGTACGAGGACCCTCGTTTAGATCCGGGACCCAGGAGGGTGGTACTCCAGATGACACCTCAGCTGGCAGAGGAGACGGAGGTGTGCTGGCGACCCGGTCCAGAGATGCCCCCCGGTACACGTGATGATAAAGCGTTTGCAGATGCGCTTTCTTAAGTTTGAATTACTCAGAAATCAAAAGACTCGGGACGAGTCTGCGTTAGCGGTTGCAACTCAGCTATCCTGTCTGGTTTGGCAGGAACAGCGTGAGGGGGGGGGACAGGAGCCGCAGGCTCCCTTCCCCGTGTGTGTGTTCAACACGTCCGATCTCTCTCGTTGTCAAAAACCGAACTGAGTCATAAGACTGAAACTTACCAAACCCAGTTCTCTTCTCAAAGCAAACGTGTGCGTCAGAGCAAATGTGTTTTGGAGTTTACTGTGAGAGTTTGTGTGTGTGTGAGTGTTTGAGTGAGTGTTTGAGTGTGTGAAGGTCACCACTAAAACATCTTCAAAACATTACTTAATTAAGCATTGCCTCATTATAGTGATTATGATTAACCAAAGCATAATAATAATTCATTTGATTAAAATACATTTATAATGAGTAAAATGGTAAAATGATTATTTAGCATTAATAAACAAAGGAAGCGTAAGACTCTTTATTATGACTAGCTTCCATGAGAACGACATCTTCTGGCACTGCAGGTGTTCAGATGTTATGGTTTGCAGCAGACTCTTGCAGACTTCATGTCGGCAAAGGTCTCACTATGTGGGTTAAATTCTCAGCGACCCAGCTTTGACCCAGCCGAGTCAAATGAAACCTTTGGCACAGAAAACCCATATTTCCTCACGTTACAGATGGTTAACCGTGATAAATGTTCCGCCTCCCACAAAGAGATGGTAAAAGTGAATGTGGGCATAATTATATACATTTTATTACTTTATTATGTATTATTTATTATTGACTATTACTCCAAAGAGTTCAGACAAAGGCAGCTGGACTTCTTTGGTTTCTTTAAAACGTTTCACTTCTCCTCTGAGGAGCTTTGTCAGTTCTAACTGGAATATGGGAGAGCCAAGTTTATAAGCTGTAGCTGTCTGTTGTTATTTAAAGAGCAGAAACTACTGTGAGTACCCCGCCTCTCCATCTCCTGATGAGTCGTTAGCCTCTACTGAGGGAGTCGTGTTGATTAGATGCAGGAAGGTGTGACCTAGACTGAAACTGAATGAGATTCAAAGCTGCATTATTGGTACTGGAAAGGTGAAATCTAAGCCCCGCCCCTATTTAAAGTGGGTTTTCGTGTTTTGACTTAGATAGATGATTTGAGAGAGGAGTAAAAGAAGCTATCTTCTCTGTCCAGAATGTGGACTTTGTCATCTTCAAAGGTGTGTCCTTGTCCTTCAGGTGAAGGTGGACTGCAGAGTTTTGACCTGAAGAGGTGGCTCTCCTGTGTTGTGTTATGTTCTTGTGTACTTGTTGTTTAGTTTCTCTAATGTAAACATCTGGACAGTGCTCCTACACTGGACTGCATAAACGACCCCACTGAGCTTCTGTTTGGGTGTTTTGTCTTCTGGATGGACCAGGTTCTGTCTGAGGGTGTTGTTGGATTAAAGTTTACTGGGATGTTGTGTTTGGAGAAGATTCTTCTAAGTTTCTCTGAGACTCCTGCCACGTATGTGATGATGGTGCCTTTGTGTAAAGGGTGTTGTTGTTAGGTTGGTAGCAGAGCTCTCATGTTTAGTGTTAAGTTCAGTGAGATCATGGAATGGGATCAAGAATTTTCTACTGACAGGAAAAAGATCTCAGCTAACATAGCTGTAGATCACACTGGATAAGTCTCTGTGGTTGCATTTATTTTACATTTATTTTACTACCTCTTACTAGAGCTGTCTTTAGTAAGCACAAAATATCTTTGGTTGTACACCTGTGCAATAGCAATAAAGTATCTTGATTCCTGTTAAATGTACTTCCTGAATGAGTGACCTTTTCAGGCTAAAATAACAAAATGACAAATACAGACAGAAGGACAACTTCTTTCTTCTTTTATAATGTGTTGCATCACCACCTGGTATCAGAACAGTTCTCAGAATTGGAAGTCATTCAAAAATCAAACAACTTGGACTCAGATCAGTGGCAAAAATGTGGTTGTAACATCTCTAGATATAAGAGCTTTAAAAACTAAAACTATTATTTATGAACTAACATTAACACTAATGACACTAATTGATATATTTTTATTTTGTTGTTTGAACCCAAGTTTCTCATTATCTGAATTTTCTAACTTGTTGGATTGCTCTATAAGTGCCCCCTTTTTTTTTTTACTTTGAGCACCCGCCCCTTCAAAGGTCTCTGCATGGCCCTGGTCTCTACAGTCTGTGGCAGCCGTGGCAGGTGCCACTGTAAGCCGTGGCAGCCGTGGCAGCTGTGGCAGCAGGGGCCGTGGCAGCTGTGGCAGGTACCGTGGCAGCTGTGGCAGCAGTGACAGGGACTGTGGCAGCTGTGGCAGGTACCGTGGCAGCTGTGGCAGCAGGTACCGTGGCAGCCGTGGCAACAGTGGCAGGGTCCGTGGCAGTTGTGGCAGGTGCCACTAAAAGCCGTGGCACCACCCGGAAGTGTTGGGGGCTGCCACCGGAAGTGCCACTCGCGCTGCCGCTACCACAAATCGCTCCTGCTGTCTCTCCTTATTAGAGTTGAGCAGCGCCTCGCCTGGAAAAAAGACGAGAGCAGACCCACGCAGCAGGGTGAGTGGCTGAAAGCAGGTGTTATGTTGATATGTGTTACGGTCAACCATCAAGAACAAGACGGACTCCGTTTGAACTCCAGACACAGTGAGCACCTCACCGGAAACGCACAGGTACATGCTACATGTTCATACTAATTCAACAGACAACAATCTCACCTGGGTGGTTCGGTCTCTCCGACGAGCCCCAGTGAGTCGTGGAGGATGGCTGCTTATACTGAGCCAGGATTCTCTGGAGGTTTCTTCCTGTTAAAAGGGAGTTTTCCTCTCCACTGTCACTATATGCTTGCTTAGTATGAGGATTGCTGTATAGTCACTGACACTAGTCAGTGACTTGATGCAATTTGCTGGGTTCCTTATATAGGAAATATCATTTCTGATTGGCTTAATGAACTGACCTGAATTGGAATGTTTATTATGTGAAGTGCCTTGAGACGACTCTTGTCGTGATTTGGCGCTATATAAATAAACTTGAATTGAATTGACCGAAGTGGACCTGACGAACTGCTGGATGGAGCTAGCAGGGACCGGAGCCGGTGTTATGTCGATATGTGTTCCGCCCTCTAGATCTGTTTCTTTTGCACCCAGCTGCGAGTTTGAAGCATCCACTTGCAAAAAATGTGTGCCCTCACCTCACGCTAATCTACTCCATCTACTCCACCTAACCATAACCCTGAAACAAACTTAAAAATTGTCTACACATAATATTTAAAAAAATTATATTTATGCAAAACATTAATTTTGGGTGACATGGGGGGTTCTGGTTAGGGTCAGAGCTATAGCTCTGGGACCTCTTGCGATTCCAACTTTTTTTTTAAGCTTTATTTACAATTGAACAATACAAACTCTCGTTGGGGGAACATAGATCAGAACATAACAGGCCACAACCATAAAACAAAAAAACAAATAAGGCATAAACAAAATAAACATCCAGTTCTTTAATTGTCCATGTCCCTGCTTAATAAGGCCACTTTCTTGTTTGTGTCTCCCAAAGCTTTTAGCGATGTCGGTAGGGATTTCAATTCACACTGCAGTATATTAAGGGATGGCTTTTTGTTTCCCCCAAAGAGAAGATTTTGTATGGAAAAGAGGGAGTTCTCCATGTTGTGTAATGTTGTGATCCTACTATTCCAACTACGCGCGCTGGTTGGTTCGCTGCCTCAGCAGTGTGCAGTTTCTGACTTTCTCCGACAGGTGACGTTAGCAAACACCACAGAGGCTTGTTTTCTCCGAGTGAAAGAAGAAAGAAGAAGGAAAGGTGTGGGAAACTGGGATAATGTGGAAGAAAGGTTAAATGACACTCATCAATCATTCATCCCTATATATACTGATGGGTCGAAAGAGTCAGGAAATATAACGGGATTTTCTTTCTGGATTTCGAAATTTAGTATATATCATAAAAGTCGAAAATCTAATAATCTGTCAATTCATGCAGTGGAAAGGTTAGCCATTTCATTTAGTTTACAGTGGATAGAACAAAATGGTGTTAGGAAAAGTATTTGCTCAGACTCCATGTCTGTATTGTTATCAATTAAAGAAATATCAGCTGATAAGAGGTCAGATATTTTGTATGAAATATTTGAGTGCTTGTTTAGGTTGATGAAGAATAATTCAGAGGTTAGGTTTATGTGGGTTCCAGCTCACAGTGGAGTAGAGAGTGATGAAATAGCTGATTATTATGCAAAGCAGGCAACGAAACTGGATACTGTGATGGAGGTTCCATACAGTGTTGCGGAGGTGAAAACAGTTATTAGACAGCAGATTGTGGATGAATGGCAAGACCAATGGATAAGGGATGTGAAAGGAAGACATTTATACAAATTAAAGGGAAAGGTTGGAAGAATGGAAGTCATTCAAATGAGTAACAGGACTCAAGTAGTAATATCAAGGATGAGAATGGGACATTCAGCTTTGAACAGTACACTTTTATTCTTGGACGGCATAATACTGGTATGTGTGACTGTGGACTTGATAGGGAAACAGTAGAACATGTATTATGTACTTGTAGAAAATATGTGGGGAATAGGAAACTGTTGGTTAAAAAATTAAAAGTTACAGGATATAAGAAATATGATTTGAATATTCTGTTAAATGGGGTAATAGTAGTTTATAAGTTAGTCAGACTTTTTAAGGAAAAGTGGAATACTTAATAGAATTTAGTTGTTTTTTTTTTTTTTTTGTAGGATACTCCCCACTTCAACTCACACTCCCATTCAATAGGTGGCGGAAATGCACCTGAAAGTTGGTTGCCACCCGCCAATTAAACGACTAAAGAAGAAGAAGAAGAAGAAGGAGGAATCGTTCTTCATCAAAACTCACACAAAGACATTGAATGAGGTGATGGAGGTCCCTGGGTCGGACAGCGACTGGAGGAGCGCGCAGTTTCGGCAGAAAGTCGTGGCTCAGATGTGAGAAACTTCGTTTCTTTTTATTGTCCCAAGTTTCTGTTAGATTAGCTCACGAGCTAAGCTAACGTTAGCCCGGCTAGGAAGAACGCCACTTTCAAATGTGTTGTCATAAAGATGTTATTATGTAGAAAAGCGAGACATTCATATCTGATGCATTTAAACACGACGTTAAATGTTTGTACTAAGTTCTAAACCAGCTCTCTGAATCTCGGAACTGTCAAAATATTTAAATATCGGAAAATTTTCATCTGTTGTAATTTTTATTCCTAATGATCTTAGCTGTCTTATGAATTTGTTAAATGTTGCTTCAGCTTGGTGTAGATTAAGTGATTTGATGTTATAAACCTCTTACAGTGTGTTGTTGATGTGTTTGATTCATGTTTCTGTCACTGATCTTAAAACATTAAACTAGCCCACCTGGCTAGTGTTTCGTTTTTATTTTCTGTTTCGATTATTTTTAGCCTTGTATAATTGTTATTGTTTTCTGCAGGTTTCCAGTATTTATGATGTTTTAACTTGTTCAGCACTTCGGTATGTCATATTGATGTGCTATATAAGTAAAGCTGCTGATCTGCTGAAGATGCCAGAGTTGTTCATGAGCATGATGTTAATTTAGTCAGCCTATGACACCTTTGTTAGTTCAACCTGTTTATTTAGTTATACGGTTGTCATGAATTTGGCTTCTCTCACTCAGAGTTTCAAAATTCATCATTAGCGTCCGTGATCAGATAAACTACAATATTCATAATAATAATAATCATTGAATCTGTAGTTTAAATATAGTTGAAGAAAATAAATAATTTAAACTGGGTATAAGCTAATGATGCAAAAGTGTCCCACGGATGCAGATGATCAATTCAGATTTTTAAAGTGTGATTTGTGTTTATTCCAGTGAAGAGGCCATGAGGAAGGCAGGAACTGTCAACACGACACACAAGTCTGGGACTGACATGGAGAACCATGTTTACATGAAAGCCAAAACCAGAGTGAGTACCACTGTTGCCAACTGTTTTTGACTGAAAATAGCTGAAGACCAACCCCCCCCCCAGTCACTAGATGTCGCCAGATGATGTCACGGGCTAATTTGCATACAACACAATGACATAATCTTGTTTGCGTGATGACGTCACCAAGTTTGCGTCACAGCGTCACCGGTCTTGTAGAGTAAATCAGATAAAACCCGCATGATTCTATTTTAAAAATTATTTAATTTATTTTTATATTTTATTAAAATAAAAACCCCATAGAATACAAAACAGCAGCCTTTAAAACGTTAAGGAAAGACGCCACTAAAAATGGAAGGAATATTTCTATTTTGTCTGAAGAGAATGGAACTCTTAAACACAAAAATATTAAATTGATAGGAATGTATGTATGATTGAATTACAATGAATTTTCTCTTGTAGTTTTCAAGTGCCTTGAGATGTATTCTGTTGTGATTCAGTGCTATATATTGACCTAACAGATAAAATATATTGTTGGGTATTTTTATTATTTAATCCAGGCGTACCTCAAAGAAAGTCCAAAACACACAAGGTGGGTTAGAGATAATAATGTTATTAATACCATTTACCAGTAAACACAAATAATCAATAATCAGATTTTGCAAAATCGGAGAGAGTAAAGTCAAGGGAGGTCGGTTTAGTCTCTCGACGAGCGGGGGCCCATCAAAAGGATGAGATATGACAAAGCACACACACATTAAAAGTTGACCCAACCTCCTCCTTCACAGACAGCGAACTTTCCCAGGTTCAGAGAGCTTTGTTGTGATAACAGAACTGCAGACTTACAAGGTCGATTTTCCCCTGCGGCAGGGGCCGGTTAATAACACCAGATGTTTCTCAGAAAATAAGGCTAATGAACTCTGTTTGAAAAAACAATCTTTTTATCCAACATATATATATTTTATTTTTGTTTGGTTTTGTTGTTTTTAGTACTTTTGTGTAAAAAGAAGCAGGTCGTATTTAGTACTCAGAAACGTTACATGCAAACTGCCAATGACCTGAGGTGTTTGTCTTACAGTATTATTCTGTTTATTATAAAAGTTTTAAATGTGCTACGTTATTGAAATCACAGAGTTCCAGTGTTCCTTGAATGCACCACAAGTGGTGCGAGAAGCCATGTGTGAGTGCGACGCTGCCTGCCAGTGCCAGCCAAGCTCAGCTGCTGAAATGCGGAAGGAGCGGTCGCCCTTTATGTAGCTCCGGTGGCGATCTCAAATAATGGACTCGTGAAAGAAAACCCACAAAAGGTTTGATTGGCCAACGGGGGTAGCGTGATCATGCTGCACGCACATGCGCAGATTATTTTCTTTCTGATCCTCTGGAAGGAAGGAGGGGCCTGTCGCTTCAGATGCCTCGCTAATCTGCAGGTAAAGTCGGCTACAAAGTTGTAGTCAAAGTAGCTGAGGGGGGTCAGAAATGTCGCCAGATTTGTCGCTAGGCGCTTTTTGAAAAAAAGTCGTTTAGGGGGTCTGAAAAATCGATAGAAATGGCGACAAAGTTGCTAAGTTGGCAACACTGGTGAGTACCGCTGTCAGGCTGAGGCTCAGAGACAGGTGATCAATGAAAACTCTTTAAATAGAAAGGTGGTGGTTACACAGGAACGGTGAGTCATCATTTGTAAAGGTTCCTGGATCGGGCAGCGCTCAGTCCTGAGGAAGATTTTGATGATGAGTTCAAACCGCTGTGGTGAACAGAAACTCACCAACTTCATCCTTCTGACCTCATCAACCTTAAAACAGACATAATCCAACAATTAACATGTCTTTTAATCATTTTATCATCAAAACTAGCACTGACATGGAATCTGCAGTTGAGACACAGAAAATCATCACAACTTGTTTTCTCTGATCAATAATTACACCAACACATTTGGTTCTGATCAGAGGCAGCAAACATGCAACCTGGGGTCCACTATAAATCTGTGAATGATTTTATTTTATAACAAGCTGTTGCAGGCTGCTTGTTTTAATAATAACTGGGTGATCTGATGACTGATGAGTTAGAAATACTGCTGACCCAAATAAAAACACCAGCAGCACCAGAATAAATGATAAATGACCCGCACTTGTAGCGCCTCTCAGAGTAAGGACTCCAAAGCGCTTTACACTACAGTGTATCATTCATCCATTCACACACTCATCCACACGCTTATGGTGATGAGCTACAATGTAGCCACAGCTGCCCTGGGGCGCACTGACGGAGGCGAGGCTGCCGAGCACGGGCGCCACCGGTCCCTCCGACCACCACCAAGGACACAACAGCAGAATTCTCTGTCCGGAGCCGGGATCGAACCTGCAACCCTCCGATTACTGGACAACCCGCTGTACCTGTTGAGCTACTGCTGCCCAGTAAAAACAAATGTGAAATTTCCCACATAATGGATGAGGATGAGTTTCCATCACTGGTGAAAAATGATCCGTCTCAGCTCCTGGCCTGATGGTATGGATCTCTGTTTGTTGTAACTTTATTGCCGTTAAAATTCAGTAAAAAGCCAACGTTTGTCCTGGAAACCTCATCTGTTTATGCTGCGGTCCACATGAACGGGTTTCTGTCTCCAATCTTAACTTCTTGTGTCTTCTTTAAAAAAAATCCAGCTTTCCATTTAAAGTTCATCTTGAGCGCTGACTTGGTGCTCTGAGCACTTGCAGTAAAGTTTACGATGTTATTGATTCCACAGTAAATGACTAAGTCGTGAGTCTCGTAGTTAAAGTTTTCACAAACAGAATGAAACGGTGTGTTTCAGGAGGAGTATCTGTCACTGGTGGCGAGGCTGATCATCCACTTCA